GTGGAAGCCATAAAAAGAACAATTTGTTTTTACCTGGAACATGATCCTCAGCAAAGCGGATTGAGACTATGTAGTTTCCTGGTTCAGTAGGACAGTAGGTGACTTCACATGTCCCATCCTCCAAGTCCTCTGTTTGGATGTCAACCTTACTGGGGCCTTCGATGGCCAGAGCCAGGCCACCATAACCTACACACACACATGCAGATAGATAAAGCTAATACTGGCTAGGTAACAGCAGACACACAATTCTTTTTAGATGTGTTCTCAATACATCACTTTTAAGTTCTCCTTAGTGAAAGAAGAAATGAAGTATCAATACATTTTTTAAATATCGGCTGTAAATGTGGCTGCCAGAGCCACTGTACTGACCAGCTTCCTGCGTGTCCACAACAAAACTGGCATTGTTGAAGGTGGTTCCTTTGAAGAGGCCGTCACCATGAACTTTGACCCGGCTGGCGTCACCTATCTCAGACTGGACGACCATGATAGTTATGGGACTGTTGGCAACATGACGGCCATTCTTCAGGATGCTGACTTGGTGTTCACCCACCTCCCGGGGGATGAAGGAGATGCCTGGGGGGGAGGAGGCAGATATACAAGGCTTAAAGAAAATGAGGAAATGGACAAAAAAAACAAAAACAGATTTTTGTTTACTTTTTAAGGACTTCAGAATGTGTGTGTGTATGTGTGTGTTACCAATGTGGTTGTTGGGCATCCTCTTCAGCAGACAGGGCTCGTCGCGTCCGGATGGCGACCTAATGCTCGCGGTCAGCAGGGTGAGGTCCGTCTCATTAATATCCAGAGAGAAATCTGCAGCTGAGCCCAGTTTGACCTGTGAGCGCCGCTGGTTGTCCTCTGAAACACAGTAGCACAGGTAAGACGCTGCTGTGGAGATGTTGCTGTGTTCATCTTGGATTTAGCAGATGTAGCTGAGTGTGTCTGAGCTGCTTGCCTCTGCCTCTTAAGTGAAATAAAGTGAGTGCATTCAAACTCCATAATGTAGAAATAAGATGATGAACATCTAACACGAGCATGAAAAAGCTCAGACAGCAGTATGTATTTCCCTAAAATCAGCTGCAGTAGTCCTTAAGCTGAGGCCTGAGGGAAACGGTTTCCAATAGTGAAAGTGACTACAGATTTAACATACTAACAAATATTTTAGATGCAGTCAGCTCTAAGAAAATCCAGTTCTGAAGTTCTGAGGAACTGAAGACATTTTTGTTGAAGACAAACCTCTGCCAGTGAGGTAATAGGTTTCCATGTTTTTATTTCTCATCCCAGATTTATTTTGTTTACCTAAAAGTTTGGAATGTAGAAGTGAATTTTAAAGACTTGATTTAAAGAAGATTTGTTTTCTAGTGCATCAGTAAAAGATTGACCATTAGTGATTTGCTTGTTCATATAGCAGGGTCTCTGTGTTGCTGTGCAGACTGACCGGTGATCTTGGCGGTGAATGGGCTTCCGGCGATGTGCTCGTCGTTGTATTTGACCAGGATGTTGTAGTCTCCAGGCAGAGTGGGCAGGTAGCTGACACCGCAGGTTCCGTCTTGGTTGTCCACACAGCTGATCTCTGCTTTGGATGGACCCTCGATGGCCAAGTCCAGACCCCCTGGATGGACCAACAGACAGACACAGAATATATTTGATACAGTTTCACACTAATTGATTAACAATGACCTCATCACCAATGATGAGTAGCCATAAACAGCTGATTTGTTTGTCTGCCACAGCTTCATTTTCATGAGCTTCACCTAAACTCAAGAATACATTCTTACACAGAACAAGAACTTTGGATTTTGTCCCCCTTTACTTAAATTTGAGAGCTGGTATGAAAAGAAGGAATTATTACAGCAACTACAGTAGTGACTGTTTTAATATCTGTACTGACATGTAGTGGTATCGGTATTATATTAAGCAAAATTGCCTAATCTTTGATACTGTTCCATAAATGTGCATCTTTCATAATAAATGATTACAAAAATATGTAACTTCTGCAACCAGATACCATTATGACTGATGCTGTCATCACAAACTAATCACAAACCTATCACACACATATATATTCTGACATTTCCAGAATAACTGCCAGCTCTCCGACCCCTCTCGTACCTTCAGAGGCATCATCAGTATATACGGTGAACGTAGCAATCTTGTTGGCGACGCCGTAGCTCAGACCAGGACCGTAGGCTGTGACATTGGGGCTGCTGATGTGGTTCACATAAAACTGAAGGGGAGACTCTGTGACACACAAATGATGAACATCACTACAACAAAACACTAACACCTGAGGGACACAATCAGGCCCCCATGCTGGAACTGTTTTAGAAGGCTTTAGTTCACATACTTAAGTGTGCCAACTATGAGTCAGTGTCCAGTTAGCTTCATTTCCTGGAAAGTGTGCCAAGTCGATACAAGTCCCCATGAGGAATGAAAACAAACGTGTGTTGTGCTGACCTGGGATATGTGTGCCATTGTATTTGATGTGCATCTCGTGCAGGCCGGCCTCAGTAGGCGAGTATTGCACTGTGACTGTCCCATCCAAGTTGTCTGTGATCACTGGCTGAGCTGATTTACCTGATGGCATCAGCACCTCACCTGAGAGAGAGAGAGAGAGAGAGAGAGAGAGAGCAATTAAAACTTGTTTCTAACATACCCCTCTGAATTCAGTTCAATTTGTTTAGCATCAAGTCACAACAAAAGTCATCTCAGAGCACCTTACAAAGCAAGGACCTTGTTACTGTTATAGAGAAAAACCCAACAAATCCCCCTTGAGCAAGCAAAAACTCCCTTTAATGGAAGAAACCATTGGGACAAAGTGGGACACACGCCAGGCTTTTATTTGTGGATTTTTCTTCTGCTTTTAAGACAATACAGCCTCACATTTTAATTGAAAGGCTTCTACAACAATTTGATTTGAGTAATAATCTGGTAGGTTGGATTTTTTAATCAACAGGATACAGAGAGTAAGGGTCAACGGCATATTATCTGACCAGAGGGGATTTTCCACTGGTTCTCCTCAAGGGTGTGTGTTGTCACCTTTACTTTTTATTCTCTACACAAATATGTGTCAGAGTAGATGTGACAATAGAACTATTATAAAGTATGCTGATGACTCAGTTATTGTTAGTCTCCTCAGTGATGGTGAAAGTAGCCATGGTTCAGTCATTGAGGATTTTGTCCACTGGTGTGAGGAATCCTATCTGCAACTAAATACAACAAAAACTAAAGATATGCT